TGAAAGCCCGTAAATCTCACGTACGAGTTGTCTAGTGGAAGTAAACGCATCAAAGTATACGTTAGACTATAGGTGTCGTCACACGCCTCACTTGCAGCGTATACAACGTAATTTTCAAAGCCTACGTAACTTCTCCATACGCAAAATTAAAGTGTCATTTGAGTGTTCGAACGTGTAGGGTCATTAGTTTTTTTTTCTAGGACTGGCATCCGAACGATGACATTATCGTGAACTAGTTCACTCTGACTGTGTTCCTATCCTTAGACAGCACATAAACAGCCTACGCAGACAACTTGGAAGAACGCACCAAGCTCATGCTGTCAGAGAAATGGCACACGTTTAGACGCCGTTTACGCAACGAGGCGCGCCCTCGCATTGAGGAGAGAAAGCTAAAAAAAACGTAATTGTGTTATTTTCTGACTTATTTTGTGTTGAAATGTACAAATAATGAACGTTACTCACATTAAACATCTGACGAAGGGTTTATAAGTCTGCAGACGATCCTTTCGGCGTGATTCGATCTATTGGAGTGATTCACTGAGCCGCCATCTTATTTCGACAGCAAAGTAGCCTGCATCGTGTTTGTCTACGATGCGGTCTTCTTGGAGATGTCTATTTTGCAGGCTAAATAAGAAGTTGATTGGTACTCAAAATGGCCGCCGTCGATTTAGCTATCTATTCAGCCGTCTACGTTGAGTATTGGAGCACAGTCTATGTCAGACACGAACGTTTGCGAAACGCTGTCGCATTAGCCCCACATCTCCGTTGCAAATACCAGAAAAAAATGGCCGATCCCGTGTAGAGTGGGAATCAAGGATATGCGAAGCACGAATGAGTAAGATTGATAAGTCACTGTAAAATCAGCACAACGTTACGAGGCGAAGAGAACTTATGTCATACATGACTTTCATGTAATGATTGTTATGCTTGGACGTGATACTTACCTTCGTCATCCGTGACGTGACGTAATACCAAGTTTGGCATTTGTGAAGCTAGCGAAACGGCCGCGAGCACATTGTGAGCCTGGCATGTAGCAATATTGTTACATGACACACATCTCATGATTATCATGTTTGCACCAGTCACATAATTTCGTCATTCATTCACGTACCATGATAGCAAACATGGTATTTGTGAAGCTAGGGAAAAGGCCGCGAGCGCATCATGAGCGGGACACGTAATAATGTTTGAGGAGCGAAGCTCCTTAGGTTGTAGGTCTCTGTCCATCCTCCTATGATGTATGTAGCCACCGGTGGCACATACCCGAAAGAGCGGTTCTTAGAATATCCGCTTGGTGGGGGCACTTGTATATGATGAATACCCGGTGAAAAGATGTGAGATGGCTGTACTTGAAGTGTTCACTAGATAGACGGACAGACGGAGATACAGAGAGATAGACAAACTGATGGACGCAAAGAGAGACAGAGGGGCGGACTCATGAACGGACGGATGGGCAGACAGAGGGACGGCCGTATGAACAGACGCACGGACAAACTAATGGACCGACGGACGAACGGACGTATGGACGAACGCATGGAGAGAGGCATGGACGTACAAATGCGCCGATGGTCATACGAATGAACGGACAAACAGACGGACGCATGGACGGCCATATAGACGTCTGCATGGACGGACAGAAGCAAGAACGAATGGGCGGACTAAAGCATGGACGCATTGACGAAGGCTTCGCCCCACCAATCATCATTCACTCCGTGAATATGTTTGTGATTTTTTCTACATAAAACGCATCTCTTGCATATTATGTTTGCATCAGTCACATACCTTTGTCATCTATTCACGTGCCATAATACCGAATTCGGTATATGTGAAGCTAGCGAAACGGCCGTGAGCGCATCATAAGTGTGGCATGTAGTCATGTTGTTACACGACACGTAGGGAAGTTATTTCATTGAATTTTGAAGCAGAGAAAGTTATGTGAACTCTGCATCCGAGCAGGCGCACGACTGGCACGCAAGGCTCCCGCTTGCCACGCAAACTACCTGGGTTCGATCTTCCCTCGAAAACAGACTTTTCTATGTGTTTTTGTTATTTTTGCATCTTTCTCAATTTTTTGGTCATGCACAATATGCTGCTTTTTCGCTCACAGTCGGCGATGCTTATGCCGACGTCGACGCCAGGAATTCTGCGATAGGAACCGTATATTGCTCTCGGATTGAAAGAACTTGGTGCGCATATGCACCACAAATACCGGCAGAAAGGGAAAGGTGCACAAAAAGATAAAAGTTGAAAGGAAGAAGGTAAAAGAAAGAAAGCATGTAAGAGAGACGAAAACGATAGAAAATAAACGAAAAAAAGAAAGAAAGATGCAGCAAAAGAAAGAGACATGGAGAGAGAAAGAATCAAAACTCGCCGGGTACTCTATCCACTGGGCTAAGGCAATAGAAAGGACAAGCTGTTTTTTTCGTTTTTCTTCGCAGTTCGATGTGCTAGAACCCTACCCCGCTCCCCTTCGAAACAATATTGCAGCTAACGTAGTTTTGCACTATCTCTAAGATTGGAGGCATTGCTTCAATAGGTTTTGGCGTCGCTCTGTGGTCAGCCCAACTTTCATCAATGACGGTGTCATTTCATGTCTTCATGACGTGATGTCAGATTATGCGTTGCGTTGACGTCATACTGACGTCACAAACGTTTGCGATCTGTGACATCCAGATGTCGTCCTATATTGTCGTCTTTACGCGACGATGATCGTCATTCGGGTTGACGGTGCCGCCGCCGATTGTAAACTATTGCGTTTAATTAGGCATACAAGGCGTCCGCCTTAAAACAGCGACTTTTGGAAAGAAGAAATGTTGAAAGGCTTCGTGAAAGAAAGTTGATCGGATGCGCAGGAGGTAAATGTGCATAGCCTCATTTTTAACAACTAAGATCACGCCTGCTAATCTGTTCTGCTAAGCTGTTCGACGAGCCTTCGCGACATCTAGTTAGTAAATTCTGTCTTCAATTGTGAGTCAGTAGTGCAAAAACTTTTTGGAGGAAAACTATTCAATGCAAAGTACGTTACTGATACATTGTGTTGCTGGGAGGATATGCTCAGTAACGCGTACTGTTCATGCACGCTTTCTGCAACACTATGATAGTCCCAGTAGCTAGATTTTCGATAGTTTTGTTGTGTGTGGTCTGTCCACAGTGTTTGTCCTAAGCATACTTGACAAACTCACTCATAGATCGACTTACGCTCAGGCCGCATTCCACCTTTCTTTTCCTATTTGAACAATATACTTGACGTTATATTTTTGTAGCATGCATTTAAAGAGCAGGAACTACCAATAAAGTGTATTTGTGATTTGTCCTATGCCGCTTTTCACCTTTTTGCTATATTTTGAATAATAGTAAGACACAAGCTATCCAACGAACGAAGAGAGTTTTTTTCTCGGAAGAGCAGTGGCCAGCGAGCATGCACTCACTTGCTGACGTGTTACTGAGTATATAATTGAACAAAAGCGCCCTTCAAAGTTGTGGGAAGAACAAATGAAAATGGGCATAGTTTCGCATATCGATATGTGAGTTTCCTCCGCAATAAACACAAGAAGGTTCGTTTTATGAGCTGTCCAACCTAAAACAAATCAGCGTATGCAAGACAGTGTCCTCAATGGCTCCGGATCACTTCTACCATCTGAGATTCTGTCATGAACACCTAAACCACAGCCTTGAAAGGCAAAGCTTCCGTCTTGCCTACACTACCATTCTTACAGTCACTATCTCCTCCTCGCCTCTCGTATCTTTGTGAAAGCCATGGAATGTTAACACGAGGCGTTATGCCAGTCTGGATTTCACGCTCTTTGACTACATGTTGCTTTTTCCGCTCGCGAAGTCGCTGAAGCAGAAAACGAAATTAAACCAGTGTATTACGCATGATACTCATATGAGATAAGGTAGAACGGGAATGTGACTGCATGATAAAACAAGGTGCTGAACAATTCACAAGACGTACATCTCGTACATCAATTAATCGAAAACCTATTTCATCCTGACGTCACATCCAACCTGCTGGCTCCAATGATAGTGCCAAAAAAGTTGGAAAACAAGGAGAGAATAAGGAGCTCACTCTCGGCACTTTTAGAGGTTGTTATGACGGCCCCTAGAGCACAATCACACTGCAGAGTGCGCTTCCTTCTGTTATTTCAATTTCAGCATAATTCGAACGCCACAGATTAAATCAAACACGTGTCTTTCGGGAAAGTAGAATGACGAAGGCGTGAAAATGGTAGGAGCTTCAGAAGAAATTGATTGGCGAGTGAGAGACGAACTGTTGGAGTGTTGAAGAAACTAGAGGCCTACGTATATACAGAGACGTTCACAGAAATGACTATTCTTTTAGTGTGGTGATCGCAGTTTTGAAAGCCAACATGCATGTAATCTGACTTCTGCAATAGAGCAATTCAGTGGTCTGCCCTGAGTTGATAAGGAAGCTTTAAAATGGAGCATTCGTGTCACCGTGCATTTAGTGATTATTTAGCATAGTGTTCTCCCAGAGCAGTCGTTTACGTTCAGAAGTCAAGCCCGCAACATCACCGTATCACAAACGGTGCTTGCGGTTTGTCCAGGACGGTAAACGTTTGTGTAAGCACACAACAGTAAAAGCCACGATAGAGCGCAGAAGAAAATACTGTAGTATTGAGTCTAATCAGCACTGTACAAAAGATCAGTTGTCAACTGAAACATGTACAAGCATACCTACTCAAATTAATTGCTCTTAGAGTTGCTACCATGTGATACCGTCACAATTATGTTTCTCGCCGTTGTGTTTTTTTACGCAGGCATCAATTTGATCGTGCAAAAGCAATTGAATATTCACTGAAGAAGATTTATTATGCTACAGAAATTTAGCCTGCGGGAATTACAGAAGATCAGTTTACCAGAAAAGAAACCCATCACCCGACTTTTGTTGGCTATTCTTAGGGAAGCCATGGGTCAAAATATTGACCTTTGCAGCTATGCGTTATCTTGTACTCATACTCGCCATTTTCTGTTTACAGCGCACGACCAATTTACCTGCTCCGATCCACCTGAAAAGGGACCATGCAACGAAACCATTACCCGTTTCTACTTCAATGTCCAAACCAAGACCTGCCAGGAATTCGTCTACGGCGGCTGCCAGGGCAACGTGAATAACTATGAGACTAACGAAGAGTGCAGAGTCAGCTGTGAATGTAAGTTTCGCACTCACTACCGAGGGCCCGAGCGTAACCAATTGCAACCAGGCTTTTATGCTTTGAGAAAGTGATTAGAAAGAATAATTTTATTCGCTTCCCGAATTAGCATGTACGGATAAATAGCTACCCATTTCACTTTTGAAGAAAAGGACAAGCCGTAGTCCGCATCGCTGTTGGCTTCTCATTTATTCGTTGTTCTACTCTGGTCTTATTCTAATGATGATAGCGTCATTTGTCTTCTGCACAATGTTCAACATCCTCCGCGCCCCATAAATGGCGAGTGATGACTGGGAAGACTAATAACCACAGCTTTTAGGTACACACTTTTAAATGCCAATGATATTTTAGCAAACTTCAGCAACAATGAGCATATCTATTCCTTTATCTATCTATCTATCTTTTTATTCATGTATCTATCCATCTATCTATCTATATATCTATCTATTTATCTAGCCGCCTACGACGTTTAGCTCTCCTGGCCGTTTTGATAATGGTATCGATACCAAATTTGATATGTCATAGCATGACTATATAACAAGCATGAGTGACTATTCGCAACATGAAATACATGACATGTATGTCATGATTTACAAGTCATGGTCTTGCTGCTCTTGTGGTTGTTTCGCTCACTTGACCACTTGCAAAACTGGCAAAACATGAGTGCATGGCGAACACAAACGACAGACCATAACATGAAAATCATGACATGCGTGTCACGTAATAACATGACTACAAGCCACACTCATGATGCGCTCGCGCCCGTTTCGCTAGCTTCGCATATACCACATTTGTTATTATGGGACGTGAATGGATGACGAAGGTATGTGGCTGGTGCAAACATGGTAAGCATAAGACGCGTATCATGTAAAGACATGACTACATGGTACGCTCATGATGCACTCGTGGCCGTTTCGCTAGCTTCACATGTACCAGATTCGGTATAACGGGACGCGAACGGACGACATAGGTGAACGACAAGTCCAAACGGGATAAGCATAACATGCGTGTCACGTAACATGACTACATGCCACACTCATGATGCACTCGCGGCCGTTTCGCTAGCTTCACATGTGCCGAATTCGGTATTACGTCACGTCAATTGATGACAAAAGTATGTAACTGGTTCAGACAAGATAAACCGTGAGATGCGTGTCATGTAAGAACATGACTGCATGCAATATTCAAGGCGCCAATACGATGCGACGTGACTTTTTTTTTCCTTACTTCCGGTTAAACTTCACAAAGTGGTTGCTAAGATAAATATATATGACAGTACACAACAAACAATACAACAAATTGAAGAATACTAAGGCCGTCAAGCATTACTATAACACATCAAGTCCTACAATTCCTTCATGGTCAGTAGGGCTTCACCCTTTCTACCCATAAAGGTACACATTTGTCTGTTCTTACTACCTCAAGGAATCATGAGATACTTTCTTTAAAATACTCTCTTGCTGGTCTCCTGTCAGGGTCACAGTGAAATCCAGCAATTCTGGAGCGCCATATACAAAGTAAAAATTTTTACACTCAGAAGGGTGTAATTGAGCTTGTCACATGGACGACACCCTAAGGGTGTTAATTCAGCACCTTCCAAAAAGGGTGCTTTTCTATGCACACTTAGAACAGGGTGTACATGTAAAAAAACTGCAGGGTGTTACAAAAACACCCTTAAAGAAGGGTGCCTTCGATGTCCTTAACTTTTTTAGCACCCTCTGAGGAGGGTGCGAGAAGGGTGCACAAGGGTGTTGAGTGCTCATGGCAGGGGTGCCAGTATTCTTTTAGACTGCACTAATAGACATCAGCATGCACTGATTACACAATACTTGAAGAAAGTGGTCCTGATTATCAATGGTGCGCCACCTGTCAAGCTCCATTCATTGTGTGTGGGCAAAAATATAAACACGTACAATCGTGTATGAACTTCTGCTGGATCTATATATACTTCACAGTATATGCATAATGCGCGTTACAGAAAACTGAGCCTTGCTGCCCTTGCATGTTGCGTTTATTTATAGGCTAATAAAACTTATAAACTTTTCTTCTCCCACACAACTTTTTCACCAGATGTGTAACATGTTGACGTATACGTACACTACACACGCAACACCTCAAATGTTTGTTATATTTTTTCAGTTTCACTTCATTGACAATTCTTTGAAACATACAATTACACTGCTTTCAGTTTAGTATACTGCTTGAAGTACATAGAGACTACGAATGAAACACACGCTAATATATCTCTACAATTCTTTCAAGTATATAAAATCCCAGTGGTTTCCAGTTTAATACTCCTTCATGTACGCAATCGGTTAACAGGAATGAAATACAGGCAAATATATACTTATAATTCTTACAAATATATACAATCACCATGATTTCACTCTATACGCCTTCATGTACACAATCGTTCCCAAGAAGTGCTGCACACAAAAATATATACAGATAGTGTTTTCAAAGTATACACTCACAGTGGTTTAAGCTTTGTATTCCTGGATGTATAACAATTGGTTATGAGAAATTATGTACATGCAAACATATATGGGTTTTCGCACATATATCTTTAGCGAATACTTGAAAAATCAATACAATGATCTGAAACAGAATAAGCTAAAAACGAACACAAGACTGAGTCAGGACACACAAAAACATAAGAGGTAATGCATAATTACAGCTAATGACACAAGTTGGTCATTTTTTTTCAAATGTCTCAGCCATTTTGACAACCATCTATAATGTATTCGAAAAACTCGTGCTGCTTTGAAAATAGTGATCTTCTGAAATATTTAGGAGAGCAAAAATGTTTGGTCACGTGGCTGCCTTCTGAACTTCCTGGAATGCTGTCTAGGTGTTGTATGTGAAAAATTTTATTTTAAAAGCAGCGATCCTTCTTCTATAAGAAACTTGTTCTAAGTGTTACATAACAAGAGTTTAATTTGGGCGAGTTGGTTCATCGTGGTTGTGTGCTAGTCACAGCGCGACAACTTAAGGAAGAGACAGAAAGGACAGGAAAGAGCAACGACTGTCAACTGAATTTAATGAATGTCCTACGAGCGCTTTTATACGGAGTATAAGAACCGTGCTCATGTGCGACGGCACGTGTGACCACTACAAAATAATCTTAACTGAGAAAAGAATAATCCCTCTCGGAAAGGATAAGTAAACGTTTAAAGATGCACTGATCATTGGTTTACCTGATAAAAAATACTGCACACGTTAAATTGGCCGTAAGTAAACCTATTCTCGTGACGAAAGGTGCAAGATTGACCATTTCTGTTGCTGTTTAGTACACACACTTTTGAAAGCTTGCAAGGGGTGGAAAACAACACGTTAATATCATATCTGCTGGCTATTTTTTAATTGCGAGACACGTGATGTGGTATAACATGCAAAGGTTTTGGTCATTGTTTTTTGTTGGTCCTGTCTTTTATAACTTTACTTTCTGCAGGAGAATTTCACGAACGGGTGTGATGATTCTGTTAAGATATCCAGCATCTTTTAGTTTTTATCTCTAGTTTTTAAGCCTGACCTCACCCTTGTGCTAACATGACTTCTGAAGCTTGGCTTGAATACATCTGGTATCAATTCCTCTTTTTACTATTTTTGAATGCCCACTATCAAAAGGCAGAACATTCTAAGCACTCCTGGGCTGATAGCACCAGCCAGTTCCCCAACAGCATCATCACACTCATTTGTGAAACCCTCCTGCAGAAAGTAAAGTTAAAGGAAACAAGACATAAAGAAAAACAGAATTACCAATGACCTTTGCATGGTACACGGTACTAAGGTGTCTCACAATTTTAGGAAAAGATCCAGCAGATATGACATTGTTGTTTTCCACCCCTTGCTAGCTTTCAAAAGTGCATGTACTTACAGAAACAGGAATAGTCAATATTGCACCATTCGTCACTAGAATAGGTTTACTGAATGCCAATCTAATGTGCATGAGATATCGCTAACATGTGGAAAAGCAAACATAGGACAAACTGGGCAATGCTTCAATGATCGAGCGAGCAGCATGCTTTAAATGTTAAGAAGGGCTATAGTAGTCTCATGGCCGGACACCGTAAAGAATGTAAATGCAGTCCTAGGTTTCATAAAACACAGTTTTTGAAAAAAAAAGCAAGCAGAAAAATTGAGAGATTTTAGAACTTTTTATCAGGAAGGCCAAAGTTCAATGCATCAGTACACCTTTACTTTTTTTTCCGAAAAAGAGTATTCTTTTCTCGGTTAAAATTATTTTGTCATGGTCACATATGTGTTGTTGCAGAAGAGCCCTGTTCTTGTGCTCAGTATAAAAACGCTCGTAGCACCTTCAATAAAATTCAGTTGACAGCGCTCTTTCCTGTTCTTTTTGCGATAATATTTTTATTATAGAAAGAATTTAATTTTGTTACACTTTAGGTACAGTGATGAGTTTTCATTGTATCACAACATGGAGCAAGTTGCATCTTGATGGACAAAAATCACAATTTAGTGAAAATCGTGATATTTTCTCGTATATTTTAGCAGCTTGAGAGGTCTCAAGATATTTTTTCCTCAAAGTATACTTTCTGTGGAGTAAGTATTCACTGTTCAAATATTCATAAAAAGTGCAATATTGCAATATAAATGCAAACATAACGCATTTTGGCTTTTTTCTTGGAAGCAAGTGTGGCAAAAACTTGCACTAATATTATTGAGCTTCAAATATCTTACAGAAGCACATCTACTTAACAGGTAGACTGAACTTGCCTTTGAAAATATAATCGGTAGTTTCAGAACGAAATTTTCCACAAACAGCACACAGACGGCATTGTGCTAGGAAGTTATAAGCCTGCCACATGAACAATCTTTCTTTTCTCGCTGAAATATTCTAGAAGTTCACTGTTTTCAATGCATAGGTCAGCACATTTTTTTTCAAATACACTTCAGATGGTCGCCAAAGTGACTGGGACATTTGGCATGGAATGGTCCAGCTATATTTGAGCAAAATAACTTACACAAATAACAATATT